TTAATACTACGAATTATTTGTATAGACATTTATTTTTGGTAAGGATCAGTCAGTTGGGATATAATTATTGTACGATCGATAGAATTATTTATCAAAACATGTATAACGATTTATTGAGGAGCTATTCAAGCATGTTAATTTTCATGAAATGCAGGTACCTATCTAGCTACTTCACTAGTATTACATTAGACACGTGGTACTCGTAATTGTTTTACTCTATTTTCGAAGGACAGCTGTGTCGGAATTTGCATTTTTTTTATTTTTCCTTCATTTTTTTCCTCACGTGTTTTTTCATATTTCGCCAGAAACCACCGCGGTACGAAATTCGTTATTTTTACGAACCAGTTTTCTCCTCGGGATTTTACTTACGATTTTCAAAAATCAACTAATGACAATGGATCATTGAAAATCATGACGTCATGAGAATCTTGAAAATCGTATCGACGCGGTGACGGATCGTGTACTAAGCTAGATAAATTTCCGATAATTTGCTTATAATATTTTTGATTGCCAGTCTTCAATGCTCTGGTTTACTAAAAACTTATGCTCGTCATGTCGTATTCGTTTATTTCATTTGTTTTCTGTGCTTTTTCTATGTTTCTTTTTCTTTTTACAGATTTTTGATTCGTCTTCTCGGATAGACTACTTCGTACCCGTTTGATTCTCTGCGAACTAGGGCAATTGGATTATTTATCGGCGGATACGAAATAGGGAGATGAAAAGTAAACGTCAAGCTGAATTACTTTCGTCTTACCCCTTGGCAGGACGTTAAGAAGCTGGATTCGAAGTAGGCTTCGAAATGTTACGCATATTTTTGAAAAATATCATTGATCGACTGTTGTCCTCGGTAAGTATTGGCTGTAGGCTCTTACAAATTTGTGCTTTCTTTTTTTTTCTAATTTCCATTGCTTTCCTCTTGCGTTCTCGAATAATCCAATTCTACGGAAAGTCACAAGGAATACAGCTAGTATTCGCAAAAAAAAGTCTGCTCGGAATGAATTGTCAGTGAAGGGGAAAAAATACGACGTTTAAATAATCGTTAAAAAATTATATTCAAAATTTTGTTTTTTTTCAAAGTTTCTTTATTTTCCTACGCAATGACAATCGATTCGGAGCAGCCTCGATTGTAGTCACATCTACGACAGGTGCACGAGGATCTATAAGTTTGATCGTAAAATATAGTACAAAGAAAAAATATTATTCCCACAATAATTTTTTTCTTTTTTTTTTCGAAAGTGGATCGTCTCGCTGTAAAATTTAATATTTTTTTTTGCAACTTTTTAACTCAAAATTTCTGCACAATCCCCGACCAAGTTCAAGTCCAACAATAGCATTCGAGTAAGACGGCGTAAATTCTTTCAAAATATTTGAAAGTCCGTCGAACCACTTTCGAAAAAAAAAAAAAAAAAAAAAAACACATCAGATCGTCGCGAATCGACGTACAAGATTTTATGCGTAGCAAAGGCGAAAGACACGATTGACTCTATTAACCGTGGGATGCGAATTTCGAAAGAATCGAGAAAACAAGGTCATTTTTTAATTCTTCTTCTTCGACCCAAAATGAAAGGGGTCTGTGAGTAAAATTATAGCAAGGATCGATAATCGCGAGCTTCTCAAGTGAATTTTCATCGGATAGTAATAAATTGATAAGGGATCCTTTTTTTTTTTATCTAACCCCTATCTCCAATTTAGACTGTCAACGGGCTTTGCTCGAATTTTTCGAAAAATCAATCCCCATCGGCACGCTACTATACATTTTACACGGAGAGAGGGTGATACAAAATCTATGTCCAATCCAACCGACACATACAGATAGAGTTCAAATTGTGTTAATAGTTCGTAGTAAGTTAACGTTAGGCATCGACATACGTTATTTTTTTTACACTTCGCTATTTACATCGAGTAAACTGCCTTCCGCAGTGGCCATATTAGTCTTATCTCGTGTCCCTACTATTACCGGAGAACGATCCTGAATTCGTATCGAAATTGCCAAAAAATTATGTTTTTCCAAAAAAATGCAAATTTATTTCACAAAATTTTTATCATAAGCATACTATCCATGTATTGCCAGTGACCTAATAACTTGACCAAAAAAAATATGGATTCGACCATAAGTCCAGAACTTTATCTCCTGACTATAATTACAATTAGCACGTGGAAATAGTACGGGCGAATTTCGAACGGAACCTTCGGGCGCGGGAAATTCAAACGCTGTTACGTATAACTGGATATCGCAATGATTGGAGGATCGAAAAATTATTAGAATTTTAATAAAAATTGTTTTTTTTTCCTTTTATGAGATTTAAATGCTTTTTCCCGTACTGGTATCAATTTTTTTGGACTGATATATATATATACGTGCATCGAATCGCGTGAATATTGATGCGATCGGTACATATGTAGAAGGCAGACGAACTTTTCTAAAATTTACTTTGGCCGTGTGTGTTAGAATCAATTGACGACAATTACGGACACTGATAAGCATCGGGACGATGACTATCGTTATCGACGAGCGTCGCGACGCTTATTAAACCGTCCGTCGTTGATCGTCGCAAGACAAGTACGTAGTGTCGACATATAAACTAGCCTAAAATATCATCAATTAATCTTGTGATCGTTATTTACATAATTAGACACTGATTTTTTTTTTCTCTATCGATAATTAAAGTCAAGATTATTGTACAAGTCCACAAAGAGATTGGACGTAAGTCCATAAAGGTCGATTCATACGTAGCAGCAAAAGTGGGAAGAGGGTTAAATCGAAATTTACGTTTTATCGTCACACCGGCTTAATGATAATCGCAATTCTTTTTTTTTTCGAACTATCGAGACAATCGCTATGAGGATTTTGATAAAATTTTTTTTTTTTTTGTCAAATATTTACACCTCACGATACAGGCTTCTCGGTCGCTACAACGAGACATGGAAAAAATTGTCCGGTGTGAGTGCACCCTTATACGAAGAAAGTCCAAACGGGACGTTAATTAGTATTTACAAAATTGTACCGACATCAAGAGACACGAAGAACATTAATTTGACAAACCATTTTTTTTATCCTTATCTCCCACGTGCGATTCGCTTCGTCGACCAGATCCAAATTCGACTTGACGTTCTGTAAAAAATTTTGGAAAAAAAAAGAAGACGAAACGTCATAGCACGTGGGAATATTAAGTTTTGCCAGTGGCCGATTCAACGTTAAATAGGACATCGTGCTAGAATTCTTTCTAGGCTCTAGACAAAAATTTTTCGGCTAGCCAATTGGACAAGCATCAAAAAACGGGGCGAGCGCCGAAAGAGAAAAAAAGTAATTGTTGAGATCCTTCTTGATTGGGCCTCGATTAATTAACAAGGATTCGCGATCGATTATATATATATTTTATAATTATCGTCACGAGGAAGCAAGAGATAGTCGCGTTATCGCGAGATTTTGATATTTTTCTCTTTTTCTTCGTTCTCTTTCTCTCTTACGGCAGGTCGAGCGATCGAGAAGAATAGAAGAATTTGAAAAAACCGCTCTTTCACACGTACAAGCACACTGCGTGTATACCCGAAGTGGAGCTACGGGATTTTCAAATTTTTTTTTTTTTTTTTTTTTTTTTTTTTTTTTCGGACGTTAATTATTAATAACGTA